TATAGTACCAACATACATACCAATTTTGTTTGGCAGAACCTATCTGCAAAACTTAGAAAGTTCGTCGACGTTGGGCCCAATTCAGCTTTCTTTCTAAGTTTGGAGGGTATAAACTCAGCCCAATCCAATTCGCTTTTCAAGACGATAAAAAAAAAAAAAAAATGATGCCGAGCACAGGTGCGTTTTTTTTTTTTTTTTTTTTTCCATCAACTTCGGCCTCGTTGTGAGGAAATAAATAATGCGCTGGGAAGAGGGGTTGCAGTGTTGGAAAGAAATGCGGTGTGTTTTGACTGCACAAAAATCAGAAAATCGCAAAGAAATCATCTCTCTGCGTATGCGGTTGCATGGAAGGGGGACTGCAGATTGACTTAAGCAAGCTGGTTTCCGGTGTAGACGAAGACCCACGGCCTCTTGAAATCATCAAACGACCGCGCCAGGAACAGCCACCACCGCCGGAGCCCGATGCGATGAGCGGCGATGACGAACACAAGGAGGATTTGTCTAAGCTTTCCGATCACGAGCTCAAGGACACCCTACGGCGGTTGATGAGCCGAACGGAACAGTTAGTCAGCAAATTGCCTGACAATGGCAAGAAGCTTCTAGCGCGTATCAAGCGCCTTGAGGAAGAGAAGGAACGGAGAGAGCTTCCGCGATCGGAAGTGGTATGAAATGGATTCGAATCGGATTGTGCTTGGCTTTTGATTTTCATTACCTGTTTGGTTGCTGAGAAATTTGTAGGAAAGAATAGGGATTGCATTGGGATTTAATAGAAAAATGGTGATTTTATTTTAAATTCAGCTTACTATCAGTTAGGATAGAAGAATTGTCAACTAATTCATTATGAAATGCGAAGTTTTGAATTTTTTTTTTTTTTGCCGAGTTTTATCACATATTTGATGAAATTGATTTTCCAGACACTTCAATGAAAGTCTTTAATTTTCATGTTTTAGGTTTTTGTTAAGTTTCAGGTGCTTCAGATGCATCCCTTGTGTGAAATTGCTTGCATTCTTTTCATAAACATTTAATTGTAAAAGAAAATCTGGGCCCGTAAAAGAGCATGCATTATTGATATGAAAAATGCAGGTGATAGTCATATAATTTGATATAGAAGGGTGGTTTGACATGTCTATTTGTGTTTTTATCAACTCAATCACTTAACTAGTTGAATCATTGATTCTTAGTGAAACATTTTTCATTGTACAGGATATGGATAGTCCAAAGGAGTCTACAAAGTCGAATTCAGTCACAGCTGGTGAGGTTCTGAAATATTTCAGAGAAATCTTTTGAGCTGATAATTTGAGTTTCTGTGCAGTTGGCTCCCAAGTTTCTGCCCTTAATATTACATTTTTAGCCTTTTAATATGGGTTGCTAAGATGTTCAAAGTATTGCTAATTTTATCCCATAGTTCAATGCATCTAAGCATTGATCAAGCATTGGATAGGGAGTGAAGCTTTATATTTTGTGCTCCATTTCATACCAACAGAGGACTAAGGTTATGTTTGGTTGGGAGTAATGGCCATTCCTTGTTCAAACCATAAAAATATGGCAAAATTATGGAACCTAAGAAGCTAGGAAGAAGTAAGGAATGCCTATTCCTTAGGGAGGTAGTAATTGTTATTAATCATCTATTAATTTAGCAGAAAATTATCTATCTTGAGGAATAAGTATTCCTAGCATCTTAATTAGTTTTCTTAAGTTTGCCTTATTTTTATGGTTTGACCAAGGAATAGCCTTTACTTCCAACAAAACATGACCTAGAGGTATTGTGTTTTAGGGTTTGGTTTGAGATGAAATGATTAGATGACCAAGTGTTAACCTCCCATATCTTTTAGAACAAATGGGTGAGATAATAATGGATTTGAAGGGGCTTAAATACACTGAATACAGCCATAATAGAGTCTTCTGTTTTTTTTCTTCCAAAAGGTTGAATCAAAGTGACATGTTTTAAGCTGTGGCTGATAACATTGATATGTTTTACCCTTTTCTGGGTACTTTTGTCTTGAAGATGATGATAATCCTGCTATAGGACTATAAAGACCTCTGGCTATATTGCAATCAGATGTATGATCTTTCAAGGATGATTTCTTTGAGTCAGCAGGTTTTAGCATTGTATTTCATATCTTTTTAAGAAACTGAAGTATTTTCTGCAGGTTTCTTGGATGGCTTTGAACAAGAGGATGAATCATCTCCAGCTGTTTCAGAACATAAATTTGGTGCTTGTTTTAGTAGAAAGATGGAAGAAAATGTAAAGTTTCCCATATATGACAATTCTGTAGCATATTTCACTGCAAAATGCTGTTGCTTTTATAGGTTTTTAGTCTATTTAACTGGAAAATTGTAAGATATATATAGTATTACGATGATAAGAACCTTCTTGGACGCAGAAGATGATTGCTTTTGCCTTTTTAATTTATTTAGCAGACAGGTTGCTGGATAATCAATCCATTTGATAAAAAACCAAATGATTGTGAGCACCAGAAGACGAGAGATCTTAGGGAAATTCTTCAGGGGGAAAGACAGAAAGGTCAGTCATCATCAAGACAAAAGAACTTGCATCCCTCTCATAAGCTTTCTCGTAATGGATGTCAACGTAATTCCTTGAGACGTGATCAAAGGGACAGAGTTTCTTCCGTTTGTTCTCTCCACAGCACTGTTGATGACCAGCCAATATCTGTTGCTGATGAGTGAGCAATTTTCCTTTTATGTCCTGCCTTTTTACTTTTCCTATGCTTTTCTATGATATATAGTTGTTGCATGCTTGTCTGAATTTGTTATGAGGTCCATGTTGCTGCTAGCATAATATTTGTGTGATACTAATCTCATTCTGCTTTGATTGTTTTACATATCTGTTTTTTATTAGTTATGCTAAAGTTTGTTGATGGCCACATTAGAGATCCATTTTCTTTAAGCATTTTTTATCTAATGCTTTTGTTCAATGCAGAATTCTTTTGCTTGTGTTTAGAGATGGTTTTTGGTAATTGCATCGACTTTTTTCAGCTGACTTGAGTAGCCATAGTAAATTGTTTGCTCACTTCTATTTAATATTGCCACTTCACTTTGTGTAGAAAGAAAGCTTTTGAAGCCACACCTTCCTTTGGCTCAAGGTCCAAGAAGGTACATGTACTTCTCTTTTGTAAGAATATGTACTTTTTTCCTGGAATGCTTCAATTTTGTCTATTTATAGTCACTTGATTAATTCAAAAAGGCCAGTATCATGATATAGGATTAATTTTTGGTATAAATCATGGTCAACACAGCAAATATTTGTGCAATGTAGGTTTCAACCATTAATTCAGAGTTGTCTCAGAGATATAATTTATCTCTCTGTGAGATATAGGTTTCCCAGTTAGCAGTTTGTGCAATTTTTGATGAAATCTTGTGCTTTCATTTCGGCTTAGTGACCAGATCCTGTTATTCTAAGTTGCAGGAGCAAACCATTGTTCTTGTAGATGAGGAGGAGCCACTGCTTGTAGAGACAACACATCAAGAAGCTAAACTTCCTGAATGGTAAATAGGACCTTTTCAATGTTTGTTCTTCTCCTTACAGTATCATAGTCTGTCATTATGAGCTTAATAATAACTTTTGATTTCTGTCACACTTTCAGCTCAAAAGATGCAAGGATTTACTATCCATCAAGGTACAACAATATTGTTTCTGGATATGTTGATTGCTTTTCTGGACTGTAGTTTTAACAGGATATAGTTCTGTCCTTCATATCCTTCTTGCTATCTGTTGATCCAGAGATGATCCAGATCCTGTTGAAATTTGTTTTGGGGATATAGACAACCTTGCCCCTGAAGCCTACCTGACATCAACAATTTTGAATTTTTACATCCGGTGAGTGTCTTTTTGGCTTTTTAGGTTTTGAGTCCATGATTATGAATTCTTAAAGTCTTTTCTGTATTAAGGACTAGCATGGTTAAAAGATGTTCTATCAATCAGAAAATTTGTTAGATATTAAAATTTCACTGTGAATTTTTCTCAAGCAGCAATGGCAAATAGCAGACTGAAAGAGTGGTTCTAGTTCTATTGTGGTGCAAATGCCTACAATGTCCTGTGCTATTGTGCCTATTTCATAGTGCTGAATGGGCTCCCAAGGCTTGGGTTTTGAAGTTGGTGGAAATTTTCAGTTTTGATCCCTGACTTCTGGCTGTTGGGCAATGCAGTTGGATATTTTGATTTCTCATGTCTTTCTTATAGTTCATAAATACTTCCTGTCGCCAAACTTTTTTTTATGCCTAACTTGGGATGTCCAGAAAATTGTCCAAGTCAAAAGTGAACAGCTAATTACTATGAAATTTCCAACAATGCCCTTATTAGTAACTAATCATTTACAGAGCACAAGAACTTATCAAAATTCTTGAATCAATTATAGTTATTTTCTTAATTTAGCTGTGAGTTTGCTGACTATTTCATCCAAAAGTAGGACAAATTCTTTAATACTTTTTGGTTCATATGGCTAGATATTTAAGGCAGCAAGCATCTCCAACAAATAGGGAAATTTGCGACTGTCATTTTTTTAACACATACTTTTACAAGAAGTTGACAGAGGCTGTTTCAGACAAGGTAGTTTTCTTATCCTCTTACTAGTGATTATCCTATCTCTGCATGTAAGATGAATGCATGATTGTCTTTGTAAACCATATATGTAAATTATGGTGATCAAAGCCTAGTAGAAGTATTTCAGTTTGCAGTGGTACAATTGTTTCTTTTGCTGTGAAGTAAACATAGATTTGTTCTGAGTGGAACTATTTGATGTTGACCAGACTAATGGTTTATTTCTACATTGTTTATATCAGAAAGAATGGTTTACAAGCACGCATGCACGCGCACACACACACACACACATATTAATTAAAGTTTTCTATAATTTTGCCATCGGGGAACTAAGGAGTGCATTTCATTGGAAAAGGTCTTTGCTTTTCTCCATGAAAAGTTTTACTATATAAGTTTATTATCTTTAGGATGTATGAAGAGGTGAAAAATGTTCGTTATTATTTATGATTGTGCCTTGTTCCAACTCATTCTTACTGGTTCACTTGTCTTCCTTCATAATGTGCAGGGAAGCAACAAAATTGATTTTGTTAGGTTTAGACGGTGGTGGAGAGGTGTTAATATATTTCAGAAGGCTTATATACTTATTCCAATTCATGAAGAGTGAGTTTTTCTGCCAATGTTCATACAGCATGTGTGTAGTTTGGTAAAATGTGCAATGGAATTGATCTCAAAACCTGCTGTCACACAGACCCATTGTCCTGATTTTTGATTGCCCAAAAGAAGTATAGGCATAAGCTCATGAGTAGGGCAGATCATATTTGCCTGTAGTTAAACTGACTTTCTTTATCTTTTTGAAGGATCATTTCTTTTCCAATTTGCTTAGAGATGTTTCTGAATGATATGGATAACTGTCCTAGCAGTTTTGTTTGAAAAGGTCAAAACTAAGCAGCACACCTTTCACGCTCTTTTCTTTTTCCTCAGTTTCAGTGTTCTTTCCCCTTTTTTTTTTCTCAATTAAGATTGATTTATTGTTTTTTTTTTTTTTTTGGTTGTAAATTTATTTGGACATTGATTTAGTTAATTTGATCCTATACAGTCTCCATTGGAGCTTAGTCATTATTTGTATCCCCAACAAAGAAGATGAATCAGGACCCATCATGCTTCATTTGGATTCACTGGGACTTCACTCTAGCAGATCGGTATTCTGCAACATTAGAAGGTAAGAAAAAAGGAACTTTTGATAACAATGAAACAATGGTTCTGTTATGGATGTTTGCATACAGCAAAGGAACATTTACCTCATGAGGAGGAAATTTCATGGAGTGATTTCCAAGTCAGGATGCCTTTTCCTTTTCCTTTTCTCTCACTGCTACTTGTGAAATTATTCACTTCTAGGAGAATGTTCAACATTGTTTAGCCGTTAGGCTGGGCATGAGAATCTTTTTGAGAACTTTGGGATCACAATTTAGAGAAGTATTTCACACCTCAGAGAAGAGATTCAAGCCTTACCACAATTTATGGGATGAATTTCCCAGTTGTATCTTTAGCAACCCTACTTGTTTTGTGATTTGTTGTATCAAATAAAAATAGTAAATTTTCAATTTTTTAATCTAATTGATTATTTCATATACTGTCTTTTTAAATTCTTTCATAAATCCACAACATGGTGTGAATTTTGCATTGTAGATTTTTAAAGGAAGAATGGAATATTTTGAAGCAAGAAGTTGCTCCTTTAGATCTTCCAATTGGAGATGAAGTGTGGAACAATCTTCCCAGTAAAATCAGTGAGAGGAAAATTTCAGTAAGTTTCTCTTTCTAATGTCCCAAAATTTTTGCAGGGATTGATTGTTGTTTTTTAATAATAAGAATAATAATAACCTTAAATTTTGGAGTTTCTGTTGTTTTTTCATCAATACTTCCTCCATTCAACTTTAGTTACCCTACCCATTTTTTCTCTAATAAAAAAAACAATAAATGCATTAAGTGACTTCTTATTAAAATGGACAAGTAGATAACTAATTTTAAATGTCTCAAGTTAGAAAGTAAGACAACTAAAGTTGAATGGAGGGAGTATTTATTATCAGAGCATGTATGTGGTTATAAATTGACTTCTATATTGCACTTCATCTATACTCTCTTCCCAGGTTCCCCAACAGAAGAATGATTTTGATTGTGGTCTGTTCGTTCTTTACTTCATGGAGCGCTTCATAGAAGAGGCTCCTGAAAGACTGAAAAAGAGAGATTTAGCAATGGTACTTGTTATTTTCCTCCTTTGATCTTTAGAGAAATTTTCACATACCATTTGATTTCCCATGCTGTTTTTATCAATATATTTTGCTTTTCAGTTTGGCAAGAAATGGTTCAAACCTGAAGAAGCCTCTGGTTTGAGATGTAAAATCCGGAATGTACTCATAGAACTATTTCGAACTGCTACAACAGAATAGCTGTGCTTCAGAACCTTCTCACACACATGATGGCGCTCTAGCATGAATCTGGTGCTGTACACAACCTGATACCTCACCGGTGGACTGGGTACCATCTCTGTATAGCTGGTATGGTCAATGCAATTACCTTGCTCATGAAATTTTTTTGCATTTTCCTTTGTATACATTAACCAACGCCATCATCACGTTAAAGGGTATGAAAAAAGGCAGGTCCGAGAGTGCAAATTGAATGTTTATGAACTGGCTTGAGATTTATAGAGCCCTTAGCTTCTTCAGGTGGAGAGGAAGAGAATAGAATAGGGATCAAAACTTATAAATCATCACGCCTGTCTGAATTGTGCAAAAGATGCTCTTTT